CTGGGATCATGACCTGAGCTGAAGGCAGCCGCTTAACCAACTGAGCCACCCAGGCGTCCCGATAAGAGTACTCTTTAATCCCCTTCATTATTTCATCCATCCCCCAACTCCCCTCCCTTGTGGTTACCATTAGTTTGTTCCCTAGAGTTAAGAGTCTGTTTTTTTGCTTGTGTCCTTTTTTTTTGCCCCTTTGTTCATTTGTTTTGTTTCTTAAATTCTACATATGAGTGAAATCACATGGTATTTGTCTTTCTCTGATTTATTTAGCTTAGCATTATACTCTAGCTCTAACCATGTCATTGAAAATGGCAAAATTTCATTTTTTTTAAAAGGTTTTATTTATTTATTTGACAGAGAGACACAGCAAGAGAGGAAATACAAGCAGGGGAGTGGGAAAGGAAGATGCAAGCTTCTTGCCGATGCGGGGCTCCATCCCAGGACCCTGGGATCATGACCTGAGCCGAAGGCAGATGCTTAATGACTGAGTCACCCAGGCGCCCAATTTCTTTCTTCTTTTTAATGGCTGAGTAATACTCCATTCTATATGTGCCATAACTTCTCCACCCATTCATCTGTCAGTAGGCACTTGGGCTACTTCCAGTAGTTTGACTGATGTAAATAATGCTGCAGTAAACATAGGGGTGCATATATCCTTCTGAATTAGTGTTTTCATTTTTTGGGTAACTAGCCAGTAGTGTGATCACTGGATCCTAGGGTAGTTCTATTTTTAATTTGTTGAGGAACCTCCATACTGTTTTCCACAGTAGCTGCAGCTGTTTGCATTCCCACCAACAATGCAAGAGGGTCCCCATTTTTCTACATCCTCACCAACAATTTTTGTTTCTTGTGTTTTTGATTTTAGCCATTTTGATAGGTGCGAGGTGATATCTCATTGCAGTTTTGATTTGTTTTCCTGATGATGAGTGATGTTGAGCGCCTTTTCATGTATGTTGGCCATCTGTATGTCATCTTTGGAGAAATGTCTGTTCATGTCTTCTGTCCATTTTTTAAAATAATTTTAAAAAAGATTTTATTTGAGAGAGAGAGCACATGCACAAGTAGGAGGAGGGGCAGAGGGATAGGGACAAGCAGACTCCCTGCCGAGCAGAGCCTGACATGGGGTTCGATCCCAGGACCCTGAGATCAGGACCTGAGCTGAAGTCAGATACTTAACAAACTAAGTGACCCCAGGCACCCATGTCTTCTGCCATTTTTTTTTTTTTTTTTTAAGATTTATTTGCAGACAGAGATCACAAGTAGGCAGGAGAGGCAGGCAGAGAAAGGAGGAAGCAGGCTCCCTGCTGAGCAGAGAGCCTGATTTGAGGCTCGATCCCAGGACCCTGGGATCATGACCTGAGCCAAAGGCAGAGGCTTTAACCCACTGAGCCACCCAGGAGCCCCTCTTCTGCCCATTTTTAATTGGATTACTTATTATTATTTTTTTTAATCTGTTTTTTTTTTTTGTTTGTTTGTTTGTTTTGGTCAGAGAGAGAAAGCACAGGCAAGCAGAGTTGCAGGCAGAGGGAAAAGCAGGTTCCCTGTCGAGCAAGGAGCCCAATGTGGGACTTGATCCCAGGACGCTGGGATCATGACCTGAGCGGAAGGCAGCCGCTTAACCGACTGAGCCACTCAGGTATCCCTGGATTACTTATTTTTTAGTGTTGAGTTGTAGGAGTTCTTTTTTTTTTTTTTTTAAATTTATTTTCAGTGTTTTTAAAAAAATATTTTTTACTTTTTTTTTTTAAAGATTTTATATAATTTATTCATTTGTCAGACACACAGAGAGAGAGAGAGAGCGCGCGAGCGCGTACACACACAAGCAGGCACAGGCCGAGAGAGAAGCAGGTTCCCAATGCGGAGCAAGGAGCCGGATGTGGGACTCGATCCCAGGATCCTGGGATCATGGCCTGAGCCAAAGGCAGTAGCCTAACCGACTGAGCCACCCAGGCGTCCCTTTACTTATTATTATTATTTTTTTTAATTTTATTTATTTTGTCAGAGAGAGAGGGAGAGAGAGCGAGCACAGGCAGACAGAATGGCAGGCAGAGGCAGAGGGAGAAGC